CTCTAGAAGTTCCGATCTGTGTGTTTTTTTTTTGTTTTTAGTTATTCCAACTTTTGAATGTATTGTCAAAACAATAACACATACTCTCTCGATTTTTGTTTTTTCTCTTCCTATCGTTCTTTTTTCTTCACTGCATCCTCTTTCTCATCAAAGAATAATGTAATGTAGTCCCTAGATCACAATTTTAATCTTTGTACTCTTCATCTCGTTCTAGATAAAGTTTTATATCAAGGATTATTAGTATAAACAAAAAATTAAAAAAACAAAGAGGGAAAATTCAATTAGCCCGTACTTGTATATGTTTAAAATCGACTTTATTTAAATCTTGTAACATTTGTTGAACTTGTTGTGAGTTTTGTAAGACAGCTTTGGCTACTTGAGCCAAATGATTCAATGATGTATATCGACGAAGAGTCATTGAGAATGAATTGACAATTGATAACTAAAACAGACACAAGAGATTTAGACGAGATGAAATGTATAATTTTTGCAATTATGAGAAATCTCGTAGAAAAAGAATAAGAAATAGTTAAAATATCTACTTTAATCGTTTTTAATCTTTCAGGCATATGAGAGATAACTAATTTCAATGATAAATTCAACGATTTGCCAAATGTGCGAATAGATTGAGTTATTGGACCTGAAAAAAAAAAAAAATATAATCAATTCCATATTCTATTCGAATGTACACTAATAAAAGAGAATATATTTCAGAATACATACCAGGCATTGGACTAAGTATATCTGGTATAAGTCGCTCAATTAATTGTTGATAAAATGTATAATCACATTGACGAATAAAATCTTGAACTAATGTCAATGAACATGCGCTTAAAAGTTGATATGTTGTTAATGACTGATCACTACTATCGCTATACAGAAAAAAACAAGAGAAAAGATCATAAAATTTGCATCTTATCTTTCGATTCTATCAAACTAAATCACTTACTGTTGATAACTTTGTGTTGATTTCCAAAAACTTTGTTCAACAGATTTGTTCAACAGATGTAAATTGAAAATTTGTAACGACGTCAAATAGTTTCTAGAAAAAGAGTAATAATAGAGTTTCACTCTCATGTACATGATATCCTTTTTTTTCTCTACATATAGCACAATGTTCTTTATATGAATCTTCAAATCGTCGTAAATCGACTAATGTTAAACAGTCAGGTAATACTAATGATGAATCAATTTGAATATTTTCATATAACATGAGAGAATCTAAACAAATTTCATATACAAAATGTTTTAAAAGGAGCTACAAAATTCTGAAATAACTATAACTGAAGTATTCTCATTATATTGCTCAAAACATCAACAGATTGATTTTAGAATTATTTTCTTAAAGTCTTAACTCAATAAAGAGGTGTCTATGTTATCATTTCGTACGAATAACGGGTGGATTCAAAGTGTCTAAACAAAATGTCACGGAAAAAATAGCAAAAAATGCACCATTTCGATTCTAAAATACTAAAACTTCGCCAAAGTTTGACAGTTTAAAAGATTTTTCAAAGTACATAGATCTTTTTGTAAAGAAATGTTTACTCTACAAACTGATGGGAAAAAAAGTAACTCCATCTGAAGAAACACAATTGTGTGAAACAAAAAAAGTGTGCTCAAACTTATTTTTCAAAACTTTTTAGAATTCTTGCGAGTTCTCCAAAACAAAAATTGATCAACATAGATTTCGAAAGTCTGTTTTATTTTTGTAGATTATACAACACTACTTGATCAGAAACTCTTCTAAATAAGATAAAAAGTCAATGACATTTTGGATCCACTCGTTAAGTTCAGTCACTCTCTCTCTCTCTCTCTGTGACCGTACAAGAGAAGGAGCGATTTATTTCCACTTCATCTACTTTATATTTTGTTGAATGAAGATAGAAATAGTCAAATATATGTCTAACTTACTCGTATCTTGAATAAACTGTGGTCGTTGTAAATTTAATTTTGTATCAGATTCAGATGAATACGATTGATCTTGTAGTCCACCACAATGTGTAGGTGATGATGATGATGAGCTATTACCATGTGCATTTGACTGAGATAATACTCCACGTCTAAATAAAATACAAAAAAACAGAAAATATTTGGAAATATAGAAAAAAAACATGTCCTATATATTTACTTTTTTGTATTTGTGCTTCCAAAATGATGTTGTCCTTTAAATGTTAATCCACCATTTTTATCCGTATATTCGTTAAGACTAGATGAGGCTTTTAAACGAATACCATAATAATGCTATTTGGAATTACTTCTACAAATAAGATAAAACACAAATCTTATAAAAAGTATTTGTTATGTATGTAAAAAAATGACTTTCACATTAAAACATTAGAAAATGATCTTTTTTTTTGTTATAGAATAAAGTAATTTACCTAGTCCCTAATCTTCGTGTTCTTAAACCTAAAAAAACGGATCGTATCAACTTTCCAAATGATGCTGGATTGACTTGTTCCAATTTTTGTTCTTGACAATGTTGTAAATAAAATGAGTACAATATTGATCTTCTCAATGAACACTCTTCAGCTGGTTCAAAATTATCCACTAACCATTGAACCTAAAATTAAACAACAAGAGTGAATATTCCTTTCTCTTAGAGTAGATATATACATCAAATTAGTATAAAAACTCTATAACATATTTATATAACATAACACTACAACATACGTTAACTTCTCTATGGAAAAAAAAAGTATTCAAAAGATATGTTTAAATATCATTTTTTTTATTTATCATAATGCTTACTGTAGCAGGTGATGCTCTTGTCGTATAAGCTAAAGTTTGGGCTGAGTTTCCATCTTGACGAAAAGTAAATGCACCATTTCCATTTTCACATGATAAAATATGATCACTGTATCCATCACCGGAGCTTGTCTAAATCAAAATAAATAAATAAATAAATAACATATATTATATGAGAAAATAAATTAGTAATATAAACAAACAGAGAATGTTCAAACTTAAATGAAATAAATTGTTAAATTTTTTTAATAACAATAGTGCTAGTTTAAGTTTTTTATATCGTCTATCTTATAAAGGATAAACAAGTTTCACTGGATGTTTTAAAAGTCACTAATAGATAAAAAAAAAATGTTTATAACTTCGTCATTTCTCAACCAAATGAACTCAATTTTTTTGATGAAGAAAGAGTCAAAAACTGACGAAATTATAGCCGTTTTTTTCCCTCCGGTAGCGAGTGACGTTTGAAACACTCGTTCGCTAGTAGCTATTGTTCATTAGTCCACACATTTTGTTAATATCAAACATAAAAAATAAAAGAAGAACTTGTGCTGGATAATCAAACAGTGTTCGGTGCTCAAAAAATCAACTGTCATCTCTCTCTCTCTTACGGATTGTAATCTAAATATTTGAGGTCCAATAGGCGTCGTTTTTTTCTGAGATAGAGACAAATCAAGATTTTCATAATTATCTGACTCTAACTCATTTCCAGCCAGATCATGATAAACAAAACACTGTTGTTTAATCAAAGCACTAGAATCAGCTACTAATTGCTAAAGTAGCGAAATAAATTAAAAATCTTTTTAATGATATTATAGATGTATTAGACGTACATTTTGTTGTGGATGAAAAAATGAATTTGTTCCAGTGTATAATGTTCCATCACTTGTATTAAATTGAAAGTGACTAAAATAAAAAGACAGAAAAAAAAATTTAGTAATGATACAAAGAAATAATTTATGTTCACTCATATGTTTTGAAAGAAATTGCTCATAAATATTATCGAATTCTATTGTACTTACACTGGTGCTCCATTTGAAAATCCACTACCATTTGTGTATGTATTCGATGTTGCTGCTTGAGCAGTGGCAATAATGACTCTTCCTGGTTGACCAGAAGTTTGAGATTGATCTCCACTTGTACTAGTCGATGGTACAGTTGTTATTACATATTGACTAGCTTCACCTGATCCTGATGCTGTCTGATGTAATATGGAACCTTGTCGAGGTTGAGCTGATTTCGATGCTTGAGGAGAAGTAAGACGCTAGAAATAATAAATGAAAATTGACATAATTCAGTGGTAACATTGTGAGATTTTAACGACAAGTATATGAATCTAATTATAGGTCATTATTGTATTTTTGTAAGGAATTTAGTTTTTTTTTTATCTTCTTCTGTCTTTCGTCTTCTTTTTAGGCAAAATGTGCACCGCGTGAACTATGAAAGTTAGAAAAGTTCGGAAACAGGTAGGATATTCTCTCCGACATTGGAGATTGATCAATGCACATTTTTTTCTCAAGTAACAGTTCAGATTCGGCACCATAAGCTACACAAGTGGAAGAAAAATGTGTTTTGAACTTAGATAATTATTATTACCTTTGTCCAACGCCATTTAGTCAGAGAACGAAAAATAATTTTTCTGTTTTTCAAATTTTCTTCATTCTTGTTTTGTATTATAATCAGTTCAGAGAGTAAATCAAAGCAACAATGCAGTGTTCACTGTCTACTGATAGAATCTGCTTGGAGTAGGAGGTTCAGTCAGAGATAGGGTCTATAGACATCGCAACTTGTGCGCAGCGCGCAATTGCAATCTACTTTAATGTTTACTCTATAAATTAAAGTATGGAGCTCCAGTATTTTATCTAGGTTTCCCGTTTTTCAAATGGGCGGTTGAAATTTTTCGAGGGACTGTTGGCTAAACAAATTTTGCTAAATCATAATCAGCTGTTTATTTTCGGGTGGGCACCGCCCATTCGGCCCACCCACCAGATAAATTATTGGTAGTCTCTCTCTCTCTTACCCTTGCAGATACTGCTGGCTCAATAGTGGCGACACCTGAATGGGACGAACTGCTTGTAGCCATGAAAAATTAAGAAAGAATTGAATCACAAAACTAAAATGAAACAAAAAACAAAACATCGTTTATTAAAGATATGAAAATAAAATTTCAATCATGAAGGAAAACATCCTTAGATAATAGAATAGTGACCTCAAGATCTTTTTTTATTTCGATAAACGTTTTTTGATTCAAGAACATCTTCAGATAATTTCTGACAAACAGAAACAAGCACGGCTTGACCAAGTAACTCGGCTACTGCAATGTCCTTCCGTAACATTTTTTTTCTGCATTTTGTTTCTTTCATAGTTTTCGAACGAAAGTAGAGCCAGAGCTCTACAACATCTTAAAGTGAAGACGAAATTGTATTGAACATTTTGAGATGATTCCACACTGTGCATGATCTTTCGTTTAAAAACTGAGATAAAAATACAAATACCTACTTTTTCGGATAATTTTTGATACGTGGGTTTTCGTATTTTTATCTCAGTTTTTGACACAAGATCATGCAGTGTGGAAACATCTCAAAATGTTCAATACAATTTCGTCTTCACTTTAAGATGTTGTACTTTCGTTCGAAAACTATGAAAGACACAAAAAGTAGAAAAAAAAACGTTACGGAAGGACACTGTGGTAGCAGAGTTACTTGGCCAAGCCGTGCATTATATGGCAATTGAAGTGACTCTACTTAAATAAACAAACTGTACAATCTTTGAAAAGAGCAGAACATGGTTGACATGTACAAGTCTTTTCTAACAATAAAACGAGTTATGATATAAACTATAGAACAAATTGAGGAACCATATTTTAGCCTATTCCTATAATTATTTTGAATAAGGCAATATGCAATACAATAATTCACGTAGGAAAGAGGAAATCACTTGAAAAATAAGATGAAAATTTTTCTATTTTTTTTTAATGTGATATTGTTTAGAATTTGTATATAAACTAGAATATCTTTCTAGTGCCACAGAGATAATACTTATTGACCTCGAGTTGTCTGTTTTCACGTTTGTAAACGGGAAAATTGATAGCGTACAGTACAATATTTATTTGTAAACAATTATCTCATTAAAGTAAATGAGATGAATTAAGGATTCGTCATTTGTTTACTCTTTCAGGTAAACATATCAAGCAAATGAGTTTGTTTTCTAGTTAAGAACAAAAACGCACAACATCGTCAAAGAAATAGTAAAAGGTTTTAAATTCTAAATAGGGAGAATTTTTCTTAAAAATGATCATTCAATGTCAATAAATCTGGTCTAATCTCTCATCATTTTAGGCTGTTTACTGTTTGTTTATGAGAACGACAAGACAGCAAAGGAAAATTCAACTTCTCATGTAAAGAGGGAATTGAGTAGAATCTTGAATTTCTCCTTGTCCTTGACAGCTTCCCCGAGAATTCTTTTGCCGTGTTCGGTCAAACTGCAGTTGAACAAGTAGAATCGTATGAGTGTATCATTATGTTGAAGCATTTCAATGCTGTAGTAAATAGAAGCATCGGTGATCGATTTGTTCTCCTCGAGATGTATCCACTTGAGAGTTGAGTTTTTGTGAAGAGCGAGGACGAGAAGTTCGACTCCTTTGTCCGTTATTCCAATACTTCTCAAACCTATGTCGATTAATGTTCGATTGACACTCAACATATCGCACAGGTGTGACGCTCCCTCATCTCCTATATTCGTGTTGTAGGAGAGATCGAGTACTGTGAGAGAAGTCGCAGTCGCATTCGTAGTGAGTTCATCACAGAGAAGTCGTACCCCTTCTCCGGTTAATTTGTTGAAGGCAACGTCGAGGCGAGTAGATTTTTTATCTCGTAGAGCTCGTTGAATGATTAAGGGAACATCTTCATCGGAAATGTTCATATTATCCAAGGATATCTTGTCACGACGAGATCGAGCTATTCTTCGTTCAAGACTGCCTCGAATGCCGAGCCATCGACTCACTTTTGTCGTCAAGGAAATGGATGTTGTTGTTGAATCATTATCCATTCCTGGAGGAACGATCGGACCTAGAAACAAGATCAAACAAAAAAAAACTGGAAAAATCTTTTTATTTTTCAGTGTGAATGGTCCGAAGAAAAAACGTTCAAATGGGTTTTTATAGCTTTTAGACGTTTTTTCCGGTATACTTATGAAGGATTTCTCTCAATTCATTCGTGTAGAAAGATAAGAAGAGAGAAGGAGAACTTACGCGAGTATTGTACTGAAAGAGTGGATTGAATTTGGAATGAATAGAATGGACGAGTGTAAGAGCTCCCTGATTACAACGTGAAAATGAACAGAGAAGAAAGACGATGACGAATGACAAAGTAAAATCAAATAAAGAAAAAAACTGAGCGAATCAGACAGAGACGATACGACTCCATGGCTTGCTTCTATTCTATTCGACTCAATTCTCTGACAACATGAAGAGATATTTGTTTATCCGCTAAAAGAAGGTGGTGACTATTTTTACTGACCGACTGACTTAACTGACCAAATTTGATTGGTCTACCTCATGGTTACACCAATCAAATTTGGTCAGTAAGGTCGGTCGGTCAGTAAAAATAGTCACCACCTAAAAGAACAGAACGAATGGAATATAATTTGGCCTACTCTTTCTATAAGAGAGTAAGAAAACAAAAGATGTTAAGGGGAGACTGATCATCACTCAAGCATAGCAAAAGAGTGATATACGGTAAGGTCACTAGTGCTATTCAATTAGGGAATGAAGCAACGGAGAACAATCGATGACAAACAACCTTGTGCGCATGATAAAAGCCAAGGGCGCCCATCCTTTCTCTCTCTGCATAGTTATAACGGCTGCAGTCTAAAAAAATGGTATTTCATGTCGATAAGAGTAGGCATGTACCAAATACGAAATAAAGACAAATATTTGTATTTGGGTCATTGGTATTTGGTCACTATTTGCTATTTGGTCTTTGGGTCCACCAGATATTCGGGTGACCAAATATTTGGTGGACCCAAATACCAAATAGTGACCAAATACAAACACCCAAATACCAAATATTTGTGTTTGGTACATACCTAGATAAGAGGTTTCTTAACCGTTTAAAAGAAAATAAGACAAAAACTTGGGAGGATAAGGAAACACTTTATTTTGTTTTCTTCCAAAAGAGAGGAGAGTATTTCAATACCTTTTCTCATGCATATGGCACTCGGTAATCTGCCTCTAAACAACAACAATAGGTCATATTTTTTTAAATTTATTACTTACACATGTGAAAAGAGGTCTGGGCACAAAATAGCCTCCATCATTTTCGGCCATGATCTCGAAAAAGTGAGCCGAAAGGAATGTGTTTTGAGACAATCACACGTTTCGAGATGAATGTCGATCTCGATCAATCGAAATGCAAGTTCGATATTCGCTTTCCTCGACTTTTCTTTTCGTAGGAAAACGTTTTTCGCAGAAGCGATACACATTTGCTTAGAGCTTCGAAATGCAATTCGAATGAGGTGTGAACGAAATTTCCAGCACGAAAAGTTTAGGAAAAATAGCATTTTCCAGATACAGAGCCCGAGATGCTTACTACGCGAATCTCGAATTTTTTTCGTGAATTGTTAATGGAACAACAACTACACTTGATTCGACTCAGCATACGCTGCTGAAGCCGAGTAACGGGACTGAAAAACTATAACGGACTGAATAATTAGGTTAATCTGAAATGCTTTCTTTCGAGGTACCAAAAATGGACTTTTTCGACGTCTTTTCGTATTTTGAAGATTTCACCAGGCTGAAAATTTCATCCAAAGTGGAATCTGATACACAGGACCCCGGGTGGTGAGTTTTGTCAGGGCTATCGAATGAGTTATAATTCTAACACTTTTATTTCTGCTGCATTTTTCCATTAGCGACAAATGCATCTCTCGGTCAAATACACATCCACTACCAACGGGAAACAGGAAGAGAAATAGATGTTGAATTCCTACGTGCAAAAGAAAAGCAATTTTTGACAATTGGCATTTTTCTACAAGTATGTTACCTATTTGTCTTCAAATTTTTTTTAGAACTATGGAATGTTCAGGCAACCTTCTGACACATTCCACAAACGAATTACGAAAATGACGACGTTGGAATGCTCGAGGCACAAACAAAACATAAGATGCGCATAAGCCTTCTTTGCATTCAAAGCATTTTTCTTCAACTGACACTGTGAATCAGATCTTTTCTAGCGGCGGTGTTATTCATCGATTTTTTGTTTTGCATTTCCTGTATGATATGACACGTTAAAAACATTACAGAGACAAAATTTACAAGCGAACGGGAAGAAATCGCAGATATCATCCCTGGAAAGTTCGCAAATCCAAAAACACTACAAAAATTACGCTAGCACGAAGATTGGAAAGTCGGCTCCGTTGTTCTCGCTGATTCAAGCAGAGTGATGACTCGAATATACTTGGCGAGGATTAAAAGATGAGAAACAATAGTGGACTATTCGCTTTGTAGAAAAAGAATAAGATTGAATCTTGAAAAGCACATAAGATAAAGCAGTTATAATATTGAAATACCTCGAGCCATAATCTGGTAGAACAAGGTAAAATGTGTGTCTTTATTTCTGCTTTTAGCTTGTGAGACAAATAAAGGAGACTGTCGTTCGTGAAAAATTCAAACAGAAATAAGTTAAGAACAGTCAGTCATGTGTCATTGAATCTCTGCTATTCGCTTGTTCGTTCGACTTGTTCTTCTTCACCACTAGCCGATAGACAATACATGCCATGAGACCCATCATTACGCTCGCACTTAGAACGCTGATAATGATGTACTTCGTCCTATTGTGGCCTTCATCTTCGAGATCAGACATTCCTGTGGGTGGGTGAAACATACTCAGTACGACCATAAACAGAGTCAAAGTTTGAGGTTACACAAAATGGAATGTTGCAAAATGCGGAAAAGAAAAATCCGAAAAAAAAGCCGTAGTTTTTTAGACGATTTAAAATAAGAGAAATCACGGCGATTGGAATCTGCATTTTCGAGTGGCTTCTTGGCTATTGTTGAAAATCGCATATTGTGTATGTTATTCTCGTTCAAGAGAGGGTTAAGAAGACATGAATGAAAGAATTTCTCATTGACAAACACTGATGATGTTCTTGAACGAAGTCACAGTCGGTCGTGACTGCTCATCATCAATACCGATCATCTTTCCGATGTCAACAGCATACAAAAACGTTGCAGTATTCTTTATTTTATCTTTTCTCAAACTCTACTTTTAAATTAAACCAAAAACGTTACATATGCTAACAAGTTCGCTATGACGTTCTCTATTGACATTCTTGTGACGCTGTGTTTTCATCCGATCGATGTTACATCTACGTAAAAATGTGATTTCGAAGACGGTACTATTTATCAAGTCGAAAGTTACAATGAACGCCGGTCAACTTTACCATTACTACTGGAAGAGAAGCAATGTTAATCAACAAAGATCTCGCACCAGTAATGTATCACACATTGGATAGACCATATGACCACTTTCTTCATTAGCATCATCCTGCGCAAGAGATTCGTATTTTTAATGACGCCCTTTGTGGAGTTCATGCAGAATTCGTGTCTTCGCTCTGTCCATTTTATTAATTATTAATTCGAACAGAAATCCGATCGTCAAACAAATATCCGCGTGGGCGAATTTTCGCTTAGGACGATCAATTTAGCACCTTTATCCCTGTGATTTATCTAACCAGTTCGAATTAACCGATCTCAAAATGAACGACTCTTACAAAAAATTCATACTTGAAAAAATAACAACGCAATTGTTATTCAGAGGAATATTTCACCATGGATAATTACTAATCAATAATTCTGATTTCAACGATACTCAAAGTGTCATCCGTAACGCGATTAATGAGAAGTGTCGCCAGGATGGATTAGTCGACGTAACGGTTATCTCTCCGGAAACATGATCAATTTGGATAGCGTCTTGTTCCATTAATTTTTCGAATAGTTTCTTATTCCTTCGCAATTGTAATACATCGATAAAATTTTCACCATTGACATTTCTTGCTTGTAAATTACATCCCATCTCGATTAAAAATTTCACGAGACAATGTCGACAACCACCGACCTTGAGACAAACGAAAAGCAATAGAGTGTTACCATCCTCGTCGCATCGATCGATGAGTGATGGTATTAATTTCAATAATTTTTTCACATACTTGCATTCTCTCTTTTGTAATAGAATATATAAATATCTGTACTTGTGAACCACGGTCCTAGTGGATTCTCATCCAAGAGCACACAAAATAGTTGCCTTCCCATCCTATTTCCAGTCATCATATCGAGATTTTTTCGACTATTCCATGGCTTTTGAAAGAAATTGTGTACGAGGTCATTGTGACGATAAATGACTAAAATCACATCGATTCGATCATTTTTAATTAAATTCTGGAGAATTAGTCGAAATACGTCACTAAAACATTCATTCCAAAGTGCTGTCTCTTTTCGACTATATTCATCGAGTATAATTTTCAATATTTCCATTTGACTCGTTTGAATGATTATTTTGTGATTAGAGTTGAGATCAGTTGAAGTAATCATCACTGATGTATCCAAAAAACTATTCAGCTCCCAACACTTCTCATTGAATACATGTTTCGCGCAAGATTTTGAAATTTCTTAACCCAAGACCTTCAGTGAAGTAAGCCAAGATGTTCCAAGATCTTGAGTGAAAGATCCAAGATCTTAACTTCTTGTGTTTCGCAAGATCTTGTGACATTTCTTAACCCACGATCTTCGGTACAAGAAGTTTCACTACGGAAGTATTCAGAAAAAAAACTCAAGCTTTTTCTTAGTTTAAAGAATTCCGGAGTTCTTAACCTGAATTCATCTTTTGCCGATTCGAGAAAGATTCAACAATTCAACAGTTCAGAAATAACCATCAAGGATTTTTCATAATTCAGGAATTCAAAAACTGACCCAGACTTTTGATTCTTTTTTAATTGAGAGAATATAAAAATTCAAAAGTTGAAAATGTAACTTTCCTCAATTTCTTGAATTGGAAAATGCCAAAAATTGGAACAAGATAAATTCAGTTTATGAATTCTTGAATTCTTTGAATTAAGAAAAAGCTTTCTGAATACTGGATGCTAATTCTTGAATTCTTTATGCTAAGCTTGAAAATTTTAT